CAGACTCCAGCATTAGTAGTTCCTACTATCTCTGAGTGAGTTAACTCTTATTAACATTTGATTTAAAAAAAAACCCTGAGGATTGAAAGCTGCGTCTTTTGTATATTTTTGCAATTCACAATTTCTTAAAGGCTGCATTTGTGGCCAGTGCCGCTGCTGGATGTAAGACTGCATGCATTTATACAATTGGAGTGATGCTTATAACCTCCCATCCAGCAGCTGTATCAGCCATGATAGCTAGTGATTAATTCAAAAACACTGAGACCACAGACACCATTCTACAGTAGTCTATGTGGCAATGGCAATCACTATTGTGTTGCTTCAGCAGACACAGTTACAATAATTAGCTATTCATCTGTTTCAGCAAGAAGAATGGTGGACCGATTAAAAGCTCCAGAATTCTGGAGTCTGTTATGTAATGTTTCAAGTTAATAACTCCGTAATTTCTGGAACTTTATAAGTCATAAATCGTCCGAGTAAGGTCAATGTACTGTTACAATTATGGAAATCTCTAACTTACAATTACAATAAACATCTGCTGTTATGCTGCTCGTGCCCATACAGCAAGGTATAAAAGAGATGGCAAAACCAGCAAGTGCAACTTTGTTTGTGAAGGTGGATATTGGAGGCCAGTTTTAATGGTGCTACTCTATCCTGTGATGGTAACACACATTTTGTTTTATAAGATGCCTCCATCAATGACAAACAGCACTTCTTGGTGTTTTAAATATTCACGGCAATTGCACCTGAGCTGCAGTTTGTTCATTCGATACTTGGTACTGCCGCTGATTTGCTTAATACAACGAATGTCAACTTGACAGTCATAGTAATAGTAAATGATTTTTAGTACTTGCCCACTTTAAGTACAGGCATGTGTTCACATAAATATAAATTTAAGTAGCGAAAAGACTGCATTTTCTATAAAGGTCAACCATTTGCTAGTACAACATTGAACATCTGCCATGCGAAAAACCATTCTGGCTGTTGCAGCTGAATCTTTGACTACACTCAAAATGACAAACATCCATGAAAGAAATATCTAGTACTTTAATTTTTTTTCCTAGAATTTGTTTTGCATGTTTTTCAGATATCAGATTGAAAGAATTTGGAGCAAGTTTGATTGAAGTATCGGACAATGGGGATGGAGTGGAAGAAAAAAACTTTGAAGGATTGAGTAAGTTTTGATCTTGGAATGCTGGTCTTTATATCCAGAAGCCTGGAGTATAAGGATGCGGAAGTTATGCTGCAGTTGTTCAAAACCCTGGTTAGATCCCATGTTGAATACTTTGAGCAGATCTGGGCACCACACTTTATGAATGATGTATTAGCCTTGGAGGGAGTACAACATCATTTACCAGAATGATACTTGGACAAATTAGGCCTGTTTTCTCTAGCATTTACTAGGGCAAGGGGTGATCTGATCAAAACTGCAAGATATTAACAGGAAAAGACAGGGTCGACACAGATAAACTACTTCAACTGGTTGGGGATTCTAGGACCGGGGGCAAAGCCTCGAGAATTAGGGTCAGACCATTCAGGAGTGACATTAGGAAGCACTTCTGCACACAAAAGATGGTAGATGTTTGGAACTAGTCCACAAATGGCAGTGGATGCTGGATCAGCTGTTAATTTTAAATCTGCGATAAACAATTTTTTGTCAAGCAAATGTATTAAGGGATATGGGCCAAAGGCAGGTTTATAGAGTTAGGCCACGGATCAGCCATAATCTCATTGAATGGCAAAACAGGCTTGAGAAGCTCTCCGACTCTTGTTTCTGTATTCCAGTTTAAAAATAATTATGATTTCTGGGTTATAAATGGCAAGGCGATCTAGGCTTTTACATTTGGTGGGTGTTCAAATGTGAAGGATCCCTTTAATCAAATTTAACATTTGGCCCTGAAATTCAAATTTCATTCTAGTTAGTGTTTCATTTGGTAGATTGCAGCAGAAGCTGTTCCCCCAAAGCAGTCAGTTGTTTGCAGTTAGGCACTGGTGACATTGCTTATGAAAACCTTTATCGAGGCTTGTGTGTAATTTGTAACATATATAAAGTAAGTAGAGTTGGTACCTTAAAACTGTCCATTTAATTATGAATGTCCATAATTTAAGAGATCTGCTTGTATATTTTATAATTTGAAATGTTTGGGATTGTTGTGAAATATTTTAACAGGGTGTTTGTAACTTGAAAGTGTCTGTAAGACTGAGTTTCACTGTATCTAGTTATTCCAGTTAGGTTGCATGAGAACTCTACTCCAAAGGCCTATTAGGGGATGAGGTCAGTTGAAAATGCAGAAACTGAGATGAAGCTTTAGCACAGCCCACTTAAATTCTAATGTTTTAAGACTAAAGGAGATAAATAAATAACCTGTGGTCTGTTTCCAAAGAGGTTATGGGTATGTTACATGACATTCAACTGGACTCACCACATTAACACAGTGGCTACAGGAGCAGGCCAGAAGCTGGGAATACTGCGGCAAGTAACTCATCTCCTGACTCCTCAAAGCCTTCCACCATCTACAAGGCACAAGTCAGGAGTGTGATGGAATACTCCCCACTTGCCTGGATGAGTGCAGCCCCAACAACACGCAAGAAGCTTGACATCATCCAGGACAAAGCAGCCCGCTTGATTGGCACTACATCCGTAAACATTTACTCCCTCCACCACCGACGCTCAGTAGCAGCAGTGTATACTATCTACAAGATGCACTGCAGAAATTCACCAAAGATCCTCAGACAGCACCTTCCAAACCCACGACCACTTCCATCTAGAAGGACAAGGGCAGCAGATATATGGGAACACCACCACCTCCAAGTTCCCCTCCAAGTCACTCACCATCCTGACTTGGAAATATATCACCGTTCCTTCACTGTCGCTGGGTCAACATCCTGGAATTCCCTCCCTAATAGCATTGTGGGTCAACCCACAGCTGGAGGACTGCAGCGGTTCAAGAAGGCAGCTCACCACCACCTTCTCAAAAGCAACAAGGGATGGGCAAGAAATGTTGGCCAGCCAGCGACGCCCACATCCCACAAAAATGAATAGAAAAAAAAAACTCAGGTAAAAGATTTAGGAAGGAGAGTTCAAACACTTAAGTTACAAAGTCAGCTGGTCATCAAGTGCTAAACTGTGCCGTAACTGTTAACATTACAAAATTTAATTGCAAATGTTGATATAGCATTGTACAGTGATAAGTATTGGGGAAAACAGCACACCAAAGATCATGATAATAGGTAGTAAATTTTGTGAGCAAGAAGTGTACATCCAACACAAGAATTTAAATATGTTTATAGGTTAGTAAACTTTAATTTTTCGTGTAGTCTTAAAAAGTAGTGAATTCTGTAGGTATACACTTTCAAGAATCAAATGATGCAATTGACTATTAAATAATAAAACATTTTGTTATCACTGTGGAATACCATACTGACCATTCAGCACTTTGATTTGGGTTTTAAACTATCCTGGACTCCTGTTCAAAGTCTTATAATAACTGTTGTAAGGAACTTTAATGTTGAGAGTTTAGGAATCAGAAACCAGTTCTTGGTAAGACTATGATATAATTTGCCAAATTTTAACACTGAATGTATTTACTAATTTTAAAAGTTAAAAGTTGTGTCTTCCTTTGGTTTGAGAAAATTAACAGTGTCTAAATATCGTACGTGAACATAAAGGTCCAAGAGACCTCTATATTGATCCTGAGTGTAAAAGGTAGCATCAATATCCCTCATCTCGGTTATAGAACATAGAACAGTACAGCACAGTACAGGCCCTTTGGCCCACGATGTTGTGCCAAACTTTTACCCTAAACCTAAGGTCTATCTAACCTCCACCCCTTATGTTTTGAGTGAATTTAAATGCCAGATTTAAAGCTGGAATAATTTATGTAAGATTGAAAACTTTAGTAGTTTTGAAGGGTTTGTTAGTGAAATGTAAAATTTGTCTAAATATAATTGTGAATCTGACTTAGAAGTTATTGTAATTACATGTGTTTAACAAATTTTTGGCATGTGACAAATTTGTTTATTCATTTGAAAGCACTGAAGCATTACACTTCCAAGTTGCAAGACTTCTCTGACCTCTTACATGTGGAGACCTTTGGATTTAGAGGTGAAGCTTTGAGCTCCTTGTGTGCTCTAAGGTATTATACCTTCAGCATTAAATGATGTTGTACTGTTAATGTAATCTGTAGTGGGCAGTGTTATTTTTGTATTTACTAACTCTTTCGTTGGAGAATTTTGTGAAATAGTGGAGGTGACAGGCTCTGAGGTGAAATCACCTTTTATGGCTATAACCAATTTTTTATAACTAAAATAAAGATGATGGATACCAAGTCAGGAAGTGATGGACAAGTAGGGGTCAATGTAGACTTTGCCAAAGAAATGGATATGAACTGCATTTTAAGGGAGGATGGAACATTCAGAGTTTTAGGCGGAGACTTTCAAAGAGCTTGCTTAATACAGCTGAAGGCTCTGCCTCAAATCATAGAAGTCCAGAATCATAGATGCACAATAATTAGGAGTAAATATAACCGTGGGACTTAGAGATCAGACAAGGGTTTGGAATTAAAATTATTTCCTACCTTATAAAAATGACAGTGTTTCAAAAGTACTTTACTGGGTATAGCCTGGAGTATACATATTATTTAAATCCAATGGTTTTGTTATGATTTAATTTTAAGTTAAGGCATCAAGCACGGCCAGGAAGGTGCAGTTAAAGTTGTCCTTTTGTTCTTACCAGTGACCTTAGTATCGTGACATGTCACAAAAGTGCCAAGGTTGGAACTCGCCTGGTTTTTGACCATAAAGGGCAAATCAGTGAAAAGATACCATATCCTCGACAGCAAGGGACAACAGTTAGCGTTCAGCAGTTGTTTTGCACACTACCAGTCAGGCATAAAGAGTTTCAGCGAAATATTAAAAAGGTGAGTTTTGTTTTTTATTTCGTTTTTCATGAAATACATTCTAAGCTGTCAACACTCTATATATTTACAACTCTTCCTTGGGTTGATTGGGTAGGTTCCAGGCTACAGTTAGGAGGGTGAGATGGTTAAAGGACTGGATTCTGATATCTATGTTGTTCAGTATTGACTCACTGGCAGTAGCAGCAGTGCTAGAATTTGTAGACTGTCAGAAACAGTAGTAAATGTCAGAAACATGCAATATCTGAAAAGGGTTATATTTTGGTAAGAACTATTTGTGAAAACCCACCTTTTTAAAAACTATAGATTTATTAAGGATCTCATTGCAGTTTTATTTCTGTTTTCATTTCAAGCACTTTTAGTATTATAACATTAGTTTTTGATATAGAACAGACCATTCGGTCCAAAAGGTCTGTGGAGGTGCTTGTGCTCCAAACAAACCTCCACTCATCTTACTTAGTCTAGCTCTGTCAGAATAACTTATTTTGTTCCTTTTCCCTTTGTGTTTATCTAGCTTCATCTTAAACGCATTTGCCTAGTATAAATTTACTTAATTCTCCAGCAAGTTTCATTGCCCTCCTTTAGGAAGGATGGTTTTAAAATGGAAAAGGTGTAAAAAAAAAGATCTACAAAGATGTTAACGAGACAAGAGAGTTTGAGATGGATAGGCTGGGACTTTTTTCCCTGGAGTGTAGGAGGCTGGGGTGGGGTGACCTTACAGAAGTTTATAAAATTATGAGGGCCACAGATGAGGTAAATTGCCAAGGTCTTTTCTCCAGGGTAGGGGAGTCCAAAAATAGAGAACGTAGGTTTAAGGTGAAAGTGGAAAGATTTAAAAGGGACCTGAGGGGCACTTCTTCACACAGAGGGTGGTGCATATATGGAATGACCAGCCAGAGGAAGTGGTAGAGGCAGGTACAATTTAAAAGACATTTTAACAGGTGCATGGATTGGAAAGGCATAGATAGTTTAGGAAACTTGGACGATTTGGGCCAAAGGGCTTGTTTCCGTGCTGTATGACTCTAGACTCTATAATATTCATACTATACTTAAAATTTGTTTCATCTTCAAGCTGCACTTTTATAAAACTAATTGTTTTTTGTTAAAACAGGAATACAGTAAAATGGCGCAGGTGCTGCAGGCCTATTGCATCATTTCTACTGGCATACGGATAAATTGTACGAATCAGGTTGGACAAGGAAAAAGGAACCCTGTTTTTTGTACCAGTGGATGCACCACTTTGAAGGAAAACATCAGTGCTTTATTTGGATCAAAGCAGGTAAATATTTATAGTGTAACTGCCCAGTGCAGAAGTTGAATATTTACGGATCCCAAGTACACTAGCAAAATTCCCTACTCTTTGAATAATGCCTTGGGATCCTTAAATATTCAGCTCAACTGGCATGTGGGACCTTGGCCTAAATGCCTCATATTTGGGCAACAGGGAGCACTTACTTAGCGGAGCATGGTCACCTGTATTTATTTCTGCCTTGTTGAAGTTGGTTTCTTCCAGTTAATTCTTAACCTGGATTGCTCCTTATCCTTTTTCATACCCAACATAAATCTTATGATACAACCTTCACTGTCCCCCATATGTAGCCCCATGATCACTTGGCCCACCTCTTTCTCAAAAGCCTAGTCCAGAAATGCATCCTTTATCATTGGCCAGCAAACATGCTATAGAAAATTCTCAGAACTAATTCTAGGAAGTTTTGCTCCTCTTTCATCTTCACACTACTACTATCTTGGTCTGTATTCAGATAATTAAGTCCATCATTATGACTCCTTCATAATTCTTCCTCTTTGTAACTTGCTTGCAAATTTGTTCATCTACATCCTTCCCACTATTTGATGGCCTATAGACTACACTGAGTAATATAATTACATTTGTCCTTAACTGTAACCAAATAAATTCTGGCCATGACCACTCTGGGATGTCCTCTGTCTCAAAGAACTGCAAATCTCTCCCTGATCAAAGCCACCACTGCCCATTTTTTAAAATACCTTTCCTAAGCACAGTGTATCCAAGAATATTCAATACCCAGTCTTACCCTTGATTGAACATAGGTGTGTGCAATTGCCACAATATCACATTTCCATGTGGCTATCTGCATCTATAATGTACCAGCCTTATTTTCCAAACTCTACAAATTCATAGAAGTGCCTGGTAACCCTAATTTAAGCTTTATTATTTTTCCCATTACACTGAACCCATATAATGTATTATTCTTTCCTACTCTAGTAGTATTTGACCTTTTCGTAATATTATTTGCACAGTGGTATCCCTCTTTCATACACACCAGTACCAAGTTCAAATCCTTAATAGTGCTAGAAAATCTTCCTACAAGAAAATGGCTTCTGGCTTTGTTTAGGTTCAACCCATCTGGCCTGCACAGATCCCATTTCCCCTGGAGCTGATTCCAGTGCTCCAAGAATCTAAAACATTCCATCCTGCATCCCTCCAGCAACACATTGGTCTGTTGTTTCCTCTTTTATGTGGTACTGAGAGTCATTTGAAGATGTGTACTTTGAGGTCTAACTTAGTAATTTCATGTCGAGCTTATGGTTAGTTCGCTAAATTCTGGACCGCATCTCTCCACTGCCTATATTGTCAGTACCATGGAACAGGATGTACACCTCAGTGGTCCAAGCTGCTCTGTTATCCCTCCATCTGTTAGATAACAAAACCTACTACTGAGAAAAGAAACAAGATTCACGAGCTGCTTACAATGACTGTATTGTCACTTAAATACAGAGAATTTTGTGAAATACTTTATTTAACCTTTACTATCAAAACAAATTGATTTTTTAAAAATTCCCCAGGATCAGCTTTTAACTTTGCATAAAATGAAACAAAGCTACATTGATTGGCTGAATGTAATGTACAACCTTTAGGAGATATCACAGTTTGATACTTTTTTCTCTTGTCTCTCTTAACATTCCTAACCATCTGTTTCGCAGTAATGCTGACTTTTTCACACTACTCCCTAACTGTTTCACAAAGATCCTGATCTACTTCACACTTGATGGATGCTGTTCCTTTATTGATGCTAACCGGTTGCACACTCTCCCAGTCTACTTCACACGCTCCAGACCTGCTAGTGCAAAATAATCCACTTGTTTGCCTATGAAGCAGTCGGGGAAGAGTGTGAAGTCAGGATCTTTGCAAAAGAGATAGAGAAAAGTGTGAAATAGGTCAGCATTACGGTAAAGCAAATGGGGAGGAGTGTGGAGCAGTCTTAAAATAAGTTGGAATGAGATGTTATAAACAGTTAGTAATTTTATATCAATACTGGTAATTTATTGTTGTGAAGCCAAATGTTAGCACCCATGTGATTATTTACACATTAAAAATGACAGAGCTCTTTGTCACATTAATAGATTTTCAGTCATTGCTATGTACCCGGAATTAAAATGGAATAGCTAGTTGTGGTAGTCTGGAATGTCCTACTTAAAAGGCCAGTGGAAGCAAATTTGTTAACAGCTTTCAAAGACAAATTGAATAAATGAAAAGCAGGAATATAGATCTGATTGATTAGTACTTTCAAAGAAGTGTGATGGGACAAATTACATTTTTCTGTTCTACATGATTCAATGTAGCATTTGTTTTCTGTGTTTTCCAGTTACAGAATCTTATCCCTTTTGTTCAACAATGCCCAAGTGAGGCAATTTGTGAAGATTATGGAATTAATTCCACTGACATTCCTGTAAAGCTCTACAGGTCAGTTATGACTAATAGTTAATATATGGAGTTATAGGTTTAGTTGTGGCAACACAGATCAAGAAGAAAAATATTCCTATGCTGCTGTATAATATATCTGATTTTAACATTTATTTTAGTAATGAACAAAAACTGAGCAATTGTAAAATAGTTTTTTTCATTGATTTGCCTTTATTGTCATGTCTAGTTGTCTCGAGGAACATGCTGGTTAAAAATTGGCTTGTTCTACTGCATGTTGTGGAGTGTAGATACACATACAGTGCTGTTGATTATGATGTTTCAGGAATTTGACCCAGCAATGCTAACAAAATGGCAATATATTTCAAAATCAGGTGATGTGTGACTTAGAGGTGCATGTGTTCCCATTTGTATGCTGCCCTTGTCTTTCTGTCTCAAATAGCACTGGGTGTGCCAAACCAAATGGATTGTAGTGATTCAAGAAGGCATCTCACCACCACTTTATCAATTCTGGTCTACAGCCACACCCTCATCTGTTAATGAATTTTGATTTGAGATTTAATTGGTTTACTATATAATTACTATACCAGTCCCAGTGAGCTGTCATTTACAATGTGAAGAGCTTGCTTTCTGATGGTTGCTGACAGCACTACAACTATTAGCACTTTGATGTGGTTCATTTTTTGATCAGTGTTTCCACAGACTTTCAAAATATGTTAAATTTCTCAGTTTGTATGTAACAATGTGACTGTATTCATAATTTGTATAGTATAATATAGTATGATGAGGAAAGAAAATTTTGTGTGCATTGACACGCACAGAATTTATAACTGAGAAACAAGCCATTTCGTCTGACTAGTCCATCTGAGCTTCCTCCCATCTTGTTTTGTTTCATTGTAGTTCAGATAAGTCAGATGCCCATAACTCTGCCTTTGTCTGTGACTAGATGAAGGTAATGAGTAGTTAAGTCACACAGACTGGGATTTCTAGGTTTCCCAGATAGGACCTTCAACAAGACAAGGCAATTGATTTCAGTGCCCCTAGCTGAGAAGGTATGTAGAGAGATCGGGGCTTCCACTGAACTCTAGAGCAAGTATCTGTGTTTTGGACTTGGATGAGAACAGAAATTGTGCCCAGTGGTTGAAGAGCAATGTGTTGCTTGTTCAGTGTTCAACACTCTCTATTCTGTAAATGGGGCACACATAATTGTCAAAGAAGCCCTTTGGTCATTTTTACATTGTTAACTTAGGCAGCTAGACAACGGTTAGCTCAATTGGCTGGACTGCCAGTTTGTAATGCAGAGTGATGCCAAGAACGTGGATTCAGTTCTTGCACTGGCTGAGGTTACCATGAAGGACTTTTATTCTCAACTACTTCCCACACCTGAGACATGGTGATCCTCAAATTAAACTACTAACAGAACATAGGAAATAGAGTAATAGTAGGTCATTCAGCCTCTCAAGCTTTCTGCACTGTTCAGCTAATCTTTTATTCGAATGTCATTTTCCCAAGTTATTCCCATGTAGAAACATAGAAAACAGGAGTAGGCTATTCAGTCCATCAACGAATTCAGTAGGATTCCAAATCAATATCCTGTTCCCACTTTCACCCCATACCCTCTGGTACTTTAGACCTAAGAATTACACCTCACTCCTTCTTCAAAACATTCAATATTTTGGCCTCAACTGCTTCCTGTGGCAGAAAATTCTACAAGCTCACCACACTCTGAGTGAATAAATTTCTCCTCAACTCAGTCCTAAATGGCCTACCTGTATCTTTAGACTGCGACCCCCTGGTTCCGGGCTCCCTGGTTATCAGGAACATCCTTCCTGCATTTACCCTGTCGAGTCCTGTCAGCATTTTATAGATTTCTACATGGTTCCCTCCCGTCCACAAATTCTTCTAAACACCAATGAGTATAATTCTAACCAATCTGATCTGTCCTCATATATCAGTCCTGTCCCATCTCAGGAATCAATCTGCTAAAACTTTGTTGCACTCCCTCCATAGCCAGAATATCATTCCTCAGATAAGGAAACAAACATTGCACAATAAGCCAGATGTAGTCTTGCCAAGGCCCTGTATACTTGCAGTAAAACATCTCTGTTCATGTGCTCAACCCCCTTGCTATGAAGGCCAACATACCATTCGTCGCTTTCACTGCCTGCAGCTCCTACATACTTACAGTTACTGATGTACAAGGACACTCAGATCTCATTGCACTTTCTTCTTCCCCAATCTAACATCTTTCCGATAATAATCTACCTTCCTGTTTGTGCTACCAAAGTAGTTAACCTTACATTTATCCACATTATACTTCATTTGCCGTGCATTTATTCACTCACTTATTTAAACGGCACTGAAGCATCTGCATCCTCCTCACAGCTCAACACTCCACCCAGCTTTGTGTCTCTGCAAACTTGGAGGTGTTGCATTTGGTTTCTTCATCGAAATCACTAATATATATTGTGAATAGCTAGGGCTCCAAGCAATGATTCCTGTGGTACCCCACTTGTTCACAGACTGCAACTCAGAAAATGACCAGTTTATTCCTACTGTTTGTTTCCTGTCTGTCAGCTAATTCTTTATCCATGTTAGTTCATTACCCTAATGCTCTTCAATTTTAGGTGCTAATCTCTTATGTGGGATCTTTATTGAATGCCTTCAAAAGTCCAAGTAAACCATATCACTGGGTCCCCCAATCACTCTCTATTTGTTACATCCTCAAAAAATTCCAGAATATTTGTCAGATCACTTGATGCTTTAATATCCAACTATCTATTGATCTCTATCTTGAACATAATCAATGACTGAGCCACCATAGCCCCATGGTGTCCGGAATTCCAAAGATTCATTACTGTGAGTAAATAAAAATCCCTCCTCATTTCAATTCTATGTAACGGATCACTTATTGTGAGACTATGTCTCCTGATTCTGGACTCCTCCAGCCAGACGTAGCATCCTTTCTGCATCTACTCAGTCGAGCCAGTTAAGAATTTTGATTGTTTCAATTAGACCATCTTTCATTTATCAAGCTCGAAAGGCATGGTGGTTCAGTGGTTAGCACTGCTGCCTCACAGTGTCAGGGACCTAGGTTCAATTCCAGCCTTGGGCTACTGTCTGCGTGGAGTTTGCACATTCTCCCTGTGTCTGCATGGGTTTCCTCCGAGTGCTCCGGTTTCCTCCCACAGTCCAAAGATGTGCAGGCTAGGTGGATTGGCCATGCTAAATTGCCCATAGTGCTGAGGGATGTGTAGATGAAGTAGGTTGTAAGGGATGGATCTGGGTGGTGTGGACTTGTTGGGCTGAAGGGCCTGTTTCCATGCTGTAGCGATTCTGTGAATACAAACCCAGTGCCCACAATCTGTTCTCAAAGAAGAATCCCACAATCCCAGGAATCAGACTGGTGAACATTCATTGCACCCACTTTGTGGCTAGAATATCCTTTCCAAGGAAGGATAACAATACAGGCAACAACGGCCAAAAGGGAGTACTGTAAAGGGACTCCGCTATTCTGCTGACCTGACAGTTCATACTAACAAATGATATTTTATGTACAATAACAGTAACTTTCCTTTCTGCGGTACACTGAAGAATCACAGGGTTCGTGTCTCGTAGTGATCATGGTGTTGGCAGGAGTTCAACTGATCGACAGTTTTTCTTTATCAATCAGCGACCATGTGACCCATTGAAGGTAAGAAGCAATAGCAGTGAAAATTGTGAATTATTGAATTAGAGCAACTGTTAGAACATAGAACATTACAGCACAGTACAGGCCCTTCGGCCCACAATGTTGTGCCGAACTGTTACCCTAATCCTAAGGTCTATCTAACCTCCACCCCTACCTTATACTATCATCCATATGCCTACCTAATAGCCGCTTAAATGCCCCTAATGAGGCTGACTCCACTACCCTCTCCGGCAATGCATTCCATGCCCCGACCACTCTCTGAGTAAAGAACCTACCTCTGATGTTTCCCCTATATCTACCTCCACTCACTTTAAAACTATGCTCCCTCATAATAGCTACCTGCACCCTAGGAAAAAGTCTCTGGCTGTCTACTCTATCTATACCTCTGATCATTTTGTACACCTCTATCAAGTCACCTCTCACCCTTTGACGTTCTAGAGAGAAAAGCCCTAGCTCTCTCAACCTTTCCTTGTAAGACCTTCCCTCCATTCCAGACCACATCCTGGTAAATCTCCTCTGCACCTTTTCCAACGCTTCTATATCTTTCCTGTAATGAGGCAACCAGAACTGGACACAATACTCCAGATGTGGCCAAATGAGGCTTTTGTATAGCTGGAGCATAACTTCATGGCTCTTGAACTCAATCCCTCTATTAATGAAAGCTAACACACCATACGCCTTCTTAACAACTCTGTCCACCTGGGTGGCAGCTTTCATGGAAGTGTGGACATGAACCCCAAGATCCCTCTGCACCTCCACACTGCCAAGGATCGTTCCATTAACCCTGTATTCTGCTTTCAAGTTTTTCCTTCCAAAATGAATCACCTCACACTTTTCAGGGTTAAACTCCATCTGTCACTTCTCAGCCCAGCTCTGCATCCTATCAATGTCCCTTTGTAACCTAGAACAGCCCTCTGCACTGTCCACAATGCGACCCACCTTCGTATCGTCCACGAACTTACTAATCCACCCTTCCACTCCTTCATCCAAATCATTTACAAAAATCACAAATAGAAGAGGACCCAGAACAGATCCTTGTGGTACACCACTCCTGACTGAGCACCGTGTTGAATATTTTCCGTCCACTACCACCCTTTGTCTTCTAAGGGTCAGTCAATTCTGAATCCAATCTGCCACATCTCCCCCTATCCCATGCCTCCTTACCTTCTGCATGAGCCTACCATGCGGAACCTTACCAAACGCCTTACTTAAATCCATGTATACCACATGCACTGCTCTACCTTCATCCACGTGTTTGGTCACCTCTTCAAAGAATTCAATAAGGTTTTGTGAGGCATGATCTACCCCTCACAAATCCATGCTGACTATCACAAATCAAACTGTGCCTTTCCAAGTGATCATAAATCCTATCTCTCAGAGCCCTTTCCAGTAATTTGCCCACCACTGACATAAGACTAACTGGCCTGTAATTTCCAGGGTTATCCTTATTCCCCTTTTTGAACAAGGGAATGACATTTGCCTCTGTCCAATCTTCCGGCACTATACCTGTGGACAGTGAGGACGAAAAGATCATCGCCAAAGGTCCTGCAATCTCTTCTCTCGCTTCCCATAGAATCCTTGGATAAACCCCATCAGACCCGGGGGACTTATCTATCTTCAACTTCCTCAAAATTCCTAGCACATCTTCCTTACTAACAGCGACCTCCTCTAGCCTACCTGCCTGTTTCACGCTGTCCTCCTCTACAATTAGGTCCCCCTCAGTTGTGAATACCGAAGAAAAGTATTCATTAAGGACCTCTCCTATCTCTTTATGCTCCGTGCACAAATTCCCTTTACAATCCTTGATCGGCCCCACCCTTTCTCTGGTCATTCTCTTATTCCTCACGTACGTGTAAAAAGCCTTGGAGTTTTCCTTGATTCTATCTGCCAAGGTTTTCTCATGCCCCCTTATAGCTCTCCTAAGCCCTTCCTTTAGCTCCTTCCTGGATAACTTGTATCCCTCTAGAGCCTTTTCCGATCCTTGTTTCCTAAACCTTATATAAGCATCTTTCTTCCTCTTAACCAGTCGTTCGACCTGTCTTGAGAACCAAAGCTCCCTCACTCGCCCGCATTTTCCCTGCCTGCTAGGGACAAACATATCGAGCACACGCAGTATGCATTCCTTAAACAATCTCCACATTTCTATAGTGCTCTTCCCTGACAGCATCTGTTCCCATTTTATGTTACCCAGTTCTTGCCTAACAGAATTATAATTACCCTTCCCCCAATTATAAACCTTACCCTGCTGTATGTACCTATTCTTTTCCATGACTATTGTAAAAGTAACAGAGTTACGATCGCTACCGCCAAAATGCTCTCCTACCAACAGGTCTAACACTTGGCCCGGTTCATTGCCAAGCACCAAATCAAAAGTGGCCTCTCCTTGTGTTGCTCTATCTACATGCTGCGTCAGGAATCCTTCCTGAATGCACTGGACAAAATCCGCTCCATCTAAACTATTACAACTAAAATGTTTCCAATCAATATTTGGAAAGTTGAAGTCACCCATGACTACAACCCTGTGACTTCTGCACCTTTCCAGTATCTGCCTCCCAATCCGATCCTCCACTTCTCTGCAACTATTAGGGGGTCTGTTAAAAAAAAAATCCCAACAAAGTGACTGCTCCTTTCTTGTTCCTGACCTCAACCCAAACTGACTCTGTAGACGTATCGTTCTCGAACTGCCTTTCAGTAGCTGCTATACTAGCCCTGACTAGCAATGCCACTCCCCCGCCTCTTTTTCCACCCTCCCTATTTCTTTTAAAGAATCTGAATCTCAGAACTTATAACAACCATTCCTGTCCCTGAGTTACCCAAGTTTCTGTAATGGCTACAACATCGTAGTTCCAAGTACTGACCCATGCTATAAGTTCATCTGCCTTATTTCTGATACTCTAGCATTGAAGTATACACACCTCAAACCATCTCTGTGTCCACAATTATGCTCTATCAACCACATTTCTTTATTAACAACCTCACTGCCTGTTGTGTTTGTTGGAAGGTTGAATACCTTATCCTCTGAATTACAAATCCGGTTCCCCACCCAATGCCAAACTAGTTTAAACCATCCCATATAGCTCCAGCAAACCTCCCTCCCAGGATATTTGTTCCCTTCTGGTTCAGATGCAACCCGTCCTTACTGTACAGGTCCCACCTTCCCCAGAATGTGCTCCAATTATCCACATAATGGAAGCCCTCCCTCCTACACCAGCCCTGTAGCCACGTATTTAGCTGCACACTCTCCCTATTTCTTACCTCGTTATCACATGGCACTGATAGTAATCCAGAGATAACTACCCTGTTTGACCTGGGCTTCAGCTTCCAACCTAACTCCCTGTACTCAGTTTTCACATTCTCTGTCCTTTTTCTACCTATGTCATTGGTACCGATGTGTAACATGACTACTGGTTGCTCACCCTCCCCTTAAGGGTCTTGAAGACACGATCCGAGACATTATGGACCCTGGCACCCGGGAGGCAACATAACATCCGTTCATCTCGTTCGCGTCCACAGAACCGCCTGTCTGTGCCTTGACAATGCTGTTGATATGCATACTATTCCAATGGCTTTAGGTGGCCTTACAACCTGGTATTGTGAATGTGCAATAATAGCTAATATATATTTTGCATGTCATAGTGATCCCTGAATGCATTCAGTCCCTGATTATAGTTTATGCTTTTGATCCTTTATCACTTTCTGATCTCATTTGTGAAAGTGGTTCTTTGTGGTCAGTCTGTGATCATGTCGATGTTTTCTAGTCCTCAATTTGTGATCTTGCTGGGACCCTTGAAAGCCAACTAACCTTTGTGTAGGAAGTAATTAGACAAACTCATGGTTATCATTCCACCCATTATCATGCTTCTCTTGGCAAAGTGCATACTGACTTGCTATTTAACATCATCCAAAAATGATTACGTATTTTGAGGATCGTAAAAAATGAAATAATTTACAAATTGGGGTGAATGGAGAAGTAAAATAAGGTCTAGCTAAAGGTAGATACAGTGATTAAGAAGCATATGGGTACTCACCTTTATTAGCTGAGGCATAGAGTTTGAACAGGCAGATTATGCTAGAAATGTATAGAACATTGAACATAGAACAGTACAGCACAGTACAGGCCCTTTGGCCCACAATGTTGTGCCAACCTATTATCCTACTGAGATCAAACTACCCTGCATACCCTGCATTATACTATCATCCATGTGCCTATCCAAGAGTCGCTTAAAAGCCTCTAAAGTATCTGACTCCACTACCACTGCCAGCAGCGCATTCACACGCCCACCACTCTCAATGTGAAGAACCTACCTCTGACATCTTCCCTATAACTCCTTCCAATCACCTTAAAATTATGTCCCCTCGTTATAGTCATTTCCGCCCTGGGAAAAAGTCTCTGGCTATCCACTCTATCTATGCCTCTCATCATCTTGTACACCTCTATCAAGTCACCTCTCATCCTTCTTCGCTCCAATGAAAAAAGCCCTAGCTCCCTCAACCTTTCCTCATTAGACCTGCCCTCCAGTCCAGGCAGCAGCCTGGTAAATCTCCTCAGCACCCTCTCTAAAGCTTCCATATCCTTCCTATAATTAGGCGACCAGAACTGAACACAATATTCCAAGTGTGGTCTAACCAGGGTTTTATAGAGTTGTAGCATAATCTCACGACTCTTAAACTCAATTCCCCTGCCAATGAAAGGCAACACACTTTACGCTTTCTTTACAACCCTATCAAATTGGGTAGTAACTTTGAGGGATCTATGGACGTGGATCCCAAGATCCCTCTGTTCGTCCACACTGCCAAGAATCCTGCCATTAACCCTGGATTCTGCATTCAAATTCAACCTTCCAAAATGAATCATTTCACACTTTTCTGGGCTGAATTCCATCTGCCACTTCTTTGCCTGGATTGATTGCAGTTACTTTCCTTGGAGCAGAAGTTACTCAGAGGGGACATAATTAAGACGTATAAAATTGTGAGGGATACAGATATGGTGGTTGGGAAGAGACTTTTTCCCCTGGGTGAAGGATCAGTGACCAGGGGGCATAGATTTAAGATAAGGGGCTGGAGGTTTAGATGGAATATGAGGAAAAATATTTTCACCCAAAAGATGGTGGGAAGCTGGAACTCGCTGTCTGTAAGGGTGATAGAGGCAGAAACCCATTTAAGAAGTATTAGGTTTAGAATAGTTAGGTGGTTGTTTTGACCATCACAGGCTCAATAGACCAAAGGGCCTTTTCTGTGCTGTAGAGCTCTGTGATTCTATAACTTGGTAGATATATTTATTGATCATTATGTTTGCTTCTTTGATGACTAACATGATTAACATTATCTTTAGGTTTCCAAACTTGTAAATGAAGTCTATCACATGTACAACAGACATCAGTATCCATTTGTTGCCCTTAATATCGGTGTTAATTCTGGTAAGTTACAGTCAGATGTATGTTTTAGATATTTTATTTGTGAATAACTAAGCTGGGAAACATTATGAACTAATGCAGTAAATAGTTCATTTAAAATGGGAAAATATGAGGAAATTATACATTGATTATAGTAATGGATTTCTATTCTGATGATTTATGCAGCCAGGATATGATGTACCCTCCTAATAAATGAGGTTATACAAAGAACAAAGAAAATTACAGCACAGGAACAGGCCCTTCGGCCCTCCAAGCCTGCGCCGATTCAGATCCTCTATCTAAACCTGTTGCCTACTTTCCAACCATCTGTATCCCTCTGCTCCCTGCCCATTCATGTATCTGTCTAGGTACATCTTAAATGATTCTATCGTGCCCGTCTCTACCTCCTCCACTGGCAACACATTCCAGCCACCCACCACCCTCTGCGTAAAGAACTTTCCACGCATATCTCCCTTAAACTTTTCCCCTCTCACCTTGAAATCATGACCCCTAGTAACTGAGTCCCCCACTCTGGGAAAAAGCTTCTTGCTATCCACCCTGTCTATACCTGTCATGATTTTGTAGACCTCAATCAGGTCCCCCCTCAACCTCCGTCTTTCTAATGTAAATAATCCTGATCTACTCAAGCTCTCTTCATAGCTAGCGCCCTCCATACCAGGCAACATCCTGGTGAACCTCCTCTGTACCCTCTCCAAAGCATCCACATCCTTTTGGTAATGTGGCGTCCAGAACTGTACGCAGTATTCCAAATGCGGTCGAACCAAAGTCCTATACAACTGTAACATGACCCGCCAACTCTTGTACTCAATATCCCGTCCAATGAATGAAAGCATGCCGTATGCCTTCTTGACCACTCTATCGACCTGTGTTGCCACCTTCAGGGTGCAATGGACCTGAACACCCAGACCTCTCTGTGCGTCAATTTTCCCCAGGGCTTTTCCATTTACCGTATAGTTCGCTCTTGAATTGGATCTTCCAAAATGCATCACCTCGCATTTGCCTGGATTGAACTCCATTATCTTCATTTACTAGATGTGCTTTGCCATTTTTAGAGTCTGTTGATCTCAATGTTACACCAGACAAAAGACAAATTCTTCTTCAGGAGGAAATGCTGCTTCTTGCAATTCTGAAGACATCCCTTATTCAGATGTACGATTCTAATGTTAACAAGCTTGATGTTAATGAAAAGGTTCCTCAGAAACCAGGTAAAGGACACCACAATGTCCATCCTTCTCAATGGAAAAATATTGATGTGCGTGAAAACTGAACCTAAAATATTCTATAATTGCCGTCTTTTAGTTCCAGTGTACCGAATGTTACAGGTTGAAAAAACTATAGAAGGAACAAATCTTCTATTAAAGCCTAATGAAAGGAAATACCTATAGCGTAGCTGTTCGATAATGTTTGACTGTGTACTGTAGATTAACATAGGTAAGATTTGCATTACATTGTGAATTAAGATGGCTAAATGTGAATTGTATTTAAATCAAATCATTCTGATATAAATTATATCTTGTTTATTGGAGTAGCAAAAAAGTCACTTAAAAGATGTTATATTGAAGTTCTCTGTCCTTTGTTCATGGGTGTTGTTATTGCACACCTCTAATTGCCCACGAGAAGGTGCTGGTGAACCACCTTCCTGAACTATGGTAGTTCCCGTGATGATAATACTGCCACAATGTTTTAATAGGGAGACTCCCAAAATTTGGACCTAGGGACAATGAAGGCAATGTCTGCATTATTTCGTAGTGATTAACACCTCAGAACCATGTGACCGAGGAGTGGGGTGTAGGAAGTTGATAAATGTTAATTCACTAAGATCACAAGCCGTCATTTTTAGGCTTGTGTGATCTATAATGAATGGTTTAAAATGTTTTTATTTTCTTAGTTGTGTAATGAGTACTTTGAGAATTAGAAATGGAATGATGCAATATTTGAAAGCATACATAACACTTTTTGAAGGCTCTGTCATTTTGAGTGTTTCAAATTGCATCAATCAGAGCTGAACTATTTCAAAGACAATGCTACTCGTACATCTGTAGCATATGCAAACTATGGCTATTGCATTTGTTCACAAATATCTTTAAACACAAAACATTAATTCAGAGATGTCAGTGAAATAGCTCTGTGGCACTTCAATTGCTAAACAAGTTTTAGTCTGGCTTCTCATCAATCAAAAATTTTACATAAAATTTCTTTCACTTGTAGCACTGTGCCTTGGGCACTAAATTAAGAACCCAAAAATTCATGAGTTAATGTCCCATAATGGCAAGTTGTGAAGTAGAATTCTGTCAATCTGGTAATTTGTGAGCTGACACCAGAAAACCATCATAAAAAGTTACCAGAACATTGATTTTTTTTTTCAAAATGTAATTCATTAATATTCTTCAGGGAAGTAAAGCTGCCCTCACCCCACCCAATCTCATTCCACTTACTTTGGTCCAAGCATGACTGCAGTTCCAGCTTGTGTTGACTTTTAATGCCCTGGATAACTAAGGAGAAGCATCAAGTACAACCCAGTTAGTAACACCAATAAAGCAAGAAAGCATTCTAAAAACTTCTGTAACAGTGCATATGGTACAATATTGCTTAAGATCGTTTTATTATTTTTAAATGCTAAGTTGTGTTCCCTGTTTTAGGAATCTCTGAAAATGTTCCCAAGGCAATCAGTCTGAAGTCCTCTGTTCCAATTAAGCAGCAATCACCTGCTGAGCAATCGTATGCAGGTAAAGAGAAGTATGTAGGCATTGCAAGGTTACGTGAAGCATACTCCCTACACAGGTCACCATTATGTGGGCCCAAATCTAACAAACAAGAGGACTTTCCAGTGCAAAGAAAACTGCACAATTTTTTTACCAGTTGTAAATTGAGTAGCCCTCAGCCTGATTGTAGGACTGACCACATCCCAGTGTCTGGAAAACCCAAACAAATGGAGCAGAACTCCATGGACTGTGAAAGTGGGACAGATTCTGCAAAAAGCTGCACAAGGCAACCATCAGAATTTGACTGCAACATGCCAGAGACTAACACTTCGTCCAAACCCACTCTTGGTTCTGATAATGCTGTTAGCTTGCCCAACATGCTCCAAAATTATTCAGAAGCTGGGAAAGGAGAAGAAGAACTGAAAACTGAAATGACTGGCTGTGTTAGTGAGCTAACAGAGAAGACAGATTCGGCAGAAAATTGCAGCCGACTACTGACAGATTCTTGTTCACGCAGTTATGCCACCCAGGGTGCAAAACGCATGAAGGTTGACATCCCCTGTTTGGATGATAGCTTGTCATCAGGTCCTGGGACATTTCAGACTTCAGAGATTGACATACCAGTAGAAATGAATAAAAAGTTTGTGAAACTCCCTTTCTCTATGGCCCTTCTTGCTTTAAGGATGAAGTTGGTCCATGAGCAGCAAGCAATTCAAAAAGAGGCCCAGAGATGCAGGCGATTTCGAGCCCAGATTAGTCCTGAAGACAATCAAGTGGCAGAAGCTGAACTCAGAAAAGAGATTAGGTAATTAAATTGTCATTTTTTAAAATTCATTCACAGAATCTGTGGATTAAAGTCAAAGCCAGTATGTATTGCTCATTCCTATTTGCCCTTGGGAAGGTGAGCTGCTGTCTTGATTACAAAACTCAGTGGGCTTCATAGGCAATTTCAAGTTAAGAGTCAACCATAGATGGAATCACATGTGAGACCAAACGAGGTAAGGACAGCAGATTTTCTTCCCTAAAGCACGTTAGCAAACAACTTAAGGCCACATTATTACATATGAGTTAGGAGCAGGTGTAGACCATCCATCGTCTCAAGCCTGCTCCTCCATTCAATGGGATCATTATGATTATCAGCTTTTTATTGTATTTTATTTAGTTTAATTGAATTTAGATTCCTTGACTTCTGTCATGGGATTTGAACTAATGTCACTGGATAATTTCGCAATATAACTAATAATTCCGCTGTATCCCTAAATTCATACTCTTGTATGGAATATTTATATTTACTTTTGAACAAGTTTATACACTACAAATCACCACATTTACTTGATTTAAATTACCTCGTGTTGCGTGGTACTATCACTGTGCTAACTAGGATAGACTTCAAACAGATCTAGTAACTCAAGACTAGACACAAGGTGTTGTGTGCTATGAGCAGCAACAGAATTGTGATCTAGGATGTTTTATAAAGTATAAGTAAGAATTTTTCAATTGCAGTAATTAAAGCTAAAGGTTAAGTTTTCTCAGGTATTGACAACAGGTGAAGAATTGGAAGCAAATTTACAGACAAACCAAAATCTTACACTGTGTTAATTGTGCGCAGCAACATATTTAGAAATTGTTTATTATAAAATAAACAGTCCTAACACCTAGAATGAGAGGTCATTTGACCCCTTTCAAGCTTGCTTGCTCTACAATTATCATCATAGAATCCCTACAGTGTGGAAACAGGTCCTTCAGCCCAACAAGTCCACACCAACCCTCAGAGCATCCCACCCAGACCCATCCCCCTTTAACCCACCTAATTAACATATCCCTGAACACTATGGGCAATTTAGCATGGCCAATCCACCTAGCCTGCACATCTTTGGACTGTGGGAGGAAACTGGAGCATCCAGAGGAAACCCATGCAGACACAGGGAGAATGTGCAAACTCCACACAGTCGCCCAAGGGTGGAATTGAACCTAGGTCCCTGATGCTGTAAGGCAGCAGTGCTAACCACTGAGCCACCATGTTGCTGTGCCACTGTGCCACCTATAGCCTCCATATATGTAACATCTTGTGGACTTTGCTGGGATAATTTACAATTAATCTAGTAAAGCTCAAGTCATCCACCTATCTGTCTTCACACTAACTTTAATTGACTGCTTGCATAAGTAACTCATTTGCTCCTTTCTCCAGCCTTGGCTGGAAAGGAACCAAAGGCTTACAAAAATGATAATCTCAGTCTGTTCTTATACCTACAGCTAGATATTTGTTCAGTTCCTTTTTTTTTGATGAAGTCTTTTCACCCAAAAGTGATCTGGCATCTTTGTTTACATCTGCTAAAACAATTCCTGAGTTCACTTAATCCAATTGCATTGCTACATTTCTAATGTTGTTTCAACTTAAGGTCACAGTCTTCCATATGAGAATACCAATCAGGAGTAGGCCATTTCAGCCCCTCAAGCCTGCTTCATCATTAAGTATAATCATGGCTCATCCAATTATAACTTCAAATCTGTGTTTCCTCCTACCCTAATAACCTTTCAACCTCTTGTTTAACAAGAGTCTGTGAAAAAATTCAATATCTTGCACATCTTTCTAATACAACTTAAAAGTATTCAAAAGACTCTGGTTCCAATACCTTTTTGGGAAGACCATTCCGAAGACCCATGTCCTCTA